TATATATATATATACACATACATACATATATATACAGGGTGTTAGAAAATAATGATAAATCTTTCGTATAAGGGCAGAATGAACTAAACTGAGAAGAAAAGTCTTCTATCATTTTGCAATTTTCGCAATAGTTAACAAGATATTAAAATTGCTAAAAATTACCGAAAATTGGTTTTCAATAATTTTTTACTCAAATACTATCAATTTTACAGAAAAACTGCAAAAGACAAAAATGGTTTATTTTCTTCTCATAGAGCTCTAAGAATATTTTTAGAATTTTTTCAGAATTTTTTAGTACCGTATTTTCTCATGTTGGTAAAAATAAGAAATTGCAGTACTAAAAAGTTGATAAAAAATTCTGAAACAATTCGTAGGGAAGAAAATAAATAATTTTCTCTTACAGTTTTTCTGTAAAGTTGATAGTATTTGAGTAAAAAATTATTGAAGGCTAATTTTCGACAATTTTTAGCAATTAATATCTTGTTAATTATTGCGAAAATTGCAAAATGGTACAGGATTTTTCCACTCAGTTTAGTTCATTCTGTCCCTATGCAAAAGATTTATCATTATTTTCCAAACACTCTATATATATATATATATGGTATATATTGCTCACCACTTTTAAAGTTTTAATTGTATCCATGAAATGGATTCGAGATCTCGGAGAGAGAAGTGACAATTGCATTTGAACAATAATTCGGTTTGTTCATCAATGTGATCGATCATTTCTTTCTTTCTCTCTATCAATAAAAAAAGTGACTCATCAAATTGACGTTAAATGTCGCATTGATGAGTTTTTTTAATGAATTAAAAATATTATATTGATATCATTTCGATCTTGTTTAGAGATTGTACGTATAAAAGGATATGCAATAATTATAATATTAAAATTGAACACAAAACAGTAATAACAGGAGTAGCTATTTATCATTTATTTAAGGCAACTCGAAAGTAAATTGAAATTCAAACACACATCGATTTTACCCTTATCAGTACCATCGAACCAATTTTGACGTCCTAGTATCGATATATTAACTATCTCACTAGATACAACTTAAAGTGAAAGCTAATTGTCGCCTCGTGTTACTATTGGTATAAAGATTACGCATACGAAGATAAAATTATTTATATATTAAAAAATTATTATAGCTTCGACATTTTGGTATTAAAGTCCGTCCCAAAATGATCAAAGAAGTCTCCTCTTAAGCGTTGTTACGGTTTTTACGGGATACCTTGTATAGATTTTTTTGTTTTCTATTATTTTACGTAGAGTTCTATTATTTTACGTATTATAGATTCTGGTCTTTTTTCTTCACGAATTAAAAAGAGTAAAAAAAGAAAAGATGTTACTCATGGTAATACCAGAGAAGATATAAAAGAATTAAAACTTAATTCTTCTAATGATTCTCTAATTAACAAGAATTTAAGTGACTGTAAGGAATCATATAAACAAAATAATACTCATCAGACATGGAAAGTGGCAGACACGGAAAACAAAGAAATTGATGTACCTGTTACCAATGAGCTTGATTCAGGTATTTTTATTTATAATATCAAATGTATAGATTTTAATTTTGGATGAATAAATATTTTTATACACGGTATAATAACATCGTCTATATTCCATACAAAGTCTAAAATTGAAACATAATATGTTTTTAAAACAACATTTAAAGGTCTTTAAAATATCTTATGTTTTGATTATGGACTTTCATGTGTCTGAAAATTCTATATTATCTATATATACAGATTCTGCTTCTGGACAAAACAACGATGCTGAATTTGCAGTATCTATTGCAAAAGAAGAAATTGGTATTGGAAATGTGGATCTAGTGGCGCAGGAAAGAGCATTTACGGTTTACAAATTAGAGCAGCTTAAAAATGAGTCAACCCAGATGAAGGTAATACATAATATATATATGAGATATGTAATCGCGCGCACGATAATTATCTATATGAATGTAGGTCAATATTTAGTGAAAATTGTGCACAAAGTTAGTATATATTTGCCATGTTGTCTGGAATTGAGTGTATTTATTATTGTAATAAATAGTATAGATATATATAATTTTGATAATGCATATATCACATAAAACCTTATATTCTTAGCAACTACTCACTGAAGGAAATATCGACATATTGCCTGATCAAGGACAAAAATTGCAAAAATGCATACATCAGCAAGAAGAAGAAATAAAGAGCTTGACACGTAAATTGGAAGATACCTCTTTGGCGTCACTTTTCAACAGTCGAGATACCGTAGAAAAATCACATTTCATGAAAGAATCACAGTTTTCTGAAGATGAGCTAGATTCCAAGTACACCGATTATTCATATTTGGTTGCTGAGTATATACCAGTAAAACCTATCACATCTTCTGAATCAAGACAACTTGGTTTAAAAGCACAAGCAACAAAAGATAAGGAATTTGCTTTAACGGTTGAACGATTACAAGATCTGCACGGATCTCTAGTAGCTCGGCCATCAGAGAAAGAAAAAGCAGAAGACCCAAAGGGGTTGAAAGTACAGTTAATGCCGCATCAACAGCATGCTCTCGCATGGCTTCTGTGGAGAGAACAGCAAAGACCATCCGGTGGCGTTTTAGGTAGATGTTAAAAAAATGATTTATAATATTAATTACATATTAATATATTAAATTAAATATTTGATTAATTTTGTGTTATTATTGAAAATGAATTTTCTTATAGCTGATGATATGGGTTTGGGGAAAACACTAACTATGATAGCTTTGATTTTGACCACTCTTGCTAAAGATTCTGATGAAAGTGATGATAATGATGCCACATGGAAGAGATCTTCACGTATGTAAAAGTTTTATAGAATTTATAATATGAACAAGTTCTTGCTTTTCTGTAAGTTTGAAAATATTTGCTTTTTTAACTTTAATTTATTTAAATTGTGATACTATATTCAGGATAAATTATGACAATTTTTATATAAAAAATGTACTTATTATAATAAATCTATTAACAATATAATATATTATATAGGACCGTAAATGTGATAACACGAACTATAGAAATCAAAGCCTTAAATGGTCTAGCTGGATCTTAATGCTTGTATGATTCTTATGTGAATTTGTATACTACGTATGTAGTCCCCAGAAACGCGCGCTAAAATGATTTTTCGGTCTTGAAATGCTAACTCTATTAAACTACCGCAATAATATCACGAGTTAAATTGACTAGCAATTTAACAAATTTTTAATGCTTATTCGCATCTTCGAAACGATCTTAATAATG